AAAGCCATTCGAAAATCATACTTCTTTTTAACACTTCTGACACTGCTGGTGTGTAACATACGGATTCAAGGACACCCCTAGCTGGAAATATAGTTTACTTTTCATTTGGTAACATAAGGTATCAGCTGACCTCCAATTTATAGCACTCTAGAACACACTCCATCAACTTTGTCATCTACTATTTACTCAATACTCACCCAGTCAACCTTACTCTGCAAACATACTTCAGTGTTGCTAGGTAATTCAGTCTGAGAGTTTAACGCAATGGCTGATGCCGGTGAAGATAAGAGAAAACATTAAGAAAAAATATTTTAAATAGACTCCACATTTTGATTTTGTGATACGTGCCACAAGAACATTACTGAAATCCAACTGCAAAGAGATTATATGGGCATTTATTCACAACTTAAAAGCTCTAAATCACCACAGGACCACTTTTCCATTTCTTCCATGAATTTTAAACAAAGTAAAAATTTATCATGTCACTTAGCTTCTGTCCACATCAGCACAGCTGTCACTGCTTCTCTGGCGACCAAAAATTTCTAACTTAACAGTAATAATAGCTGTAATACTGCAATATCTAGAAGGCATACAGAGATTTAAAAACAAAAACAAAATATACACATCTGATATAAACACTGCATGATTTTTTTAATAGGTTTTTTGTTTTGTTTTTTTTTTTAGATTTGTATAAAGGCTAGATAAGAACAGTACGGTGCAGTATATTGTACCTGCAAAAAAACCTAAACAATAATCTATTTCTTAAATTATGTGTATGTTATGTTTTCAATATCAGGAGTCAACTAACCCAAGAAATCCAAATTTAATAGAGAAGCCTGATCCATATTTCTGAAGCCAGAATCTGGCTGCCAAGCTAGAACAACACCACCAAAAGGAGTTCTGCATAAACCTAATGTAATTTAAATTCAGATTTTATCACAGAGATGATGTAGTAAGATCAACACACAGCAAGATATTTATACATCACTGTAGTTTGAACAAAGTCATTAAAAAAAAAATCCAAATCACCTTACATGTCCTTGTTATTTCCTTATAAGCAACTGAAGCTTAGGTAAAGTGAACTGTATCTTAGCCATGCTACTCACCTTGTTTAGAAGACAGATGATGCACAGGTCGTGCTGGCTGAAGGGATTTACCAATAAACTTTTTAGTTTCCTTTAACATTTTGAAGCATGACACTTTAAAAAAGCAGCAGAAATCAATACAGAGCATTCAGTTTCACATACGGATGTTAAGTGAGAAGAGCAGTCTACCTACCACTCGTTAGGTGCATTTGACAAGAGGATATACTATTTTTTAGTATGTGGGCAGGAAAAAGAAGCCAGGCCTAACACAGAAGTTTTCTTAGATGATAGAATACACCAGATAAAATTTGCTTAAAGACAAAATCAGACCTCTCTCTCATTTCTCCTTCCAATTGAGCTACCCCGAGCTTCTTCTCAGTAAGATTTTTTTCCTGTACGTTATGCTTGTACACTTGGAGAAAGGAGATGGGGACACATGATGGAAATGAAGGTATTTTCTAACAGTTAATTTAATTCAATGGGGGTTTAATTAATTTACAGTCTGCTGGCTGCACAGGAGTTCCTCATCTCTCTCTCTCTCCCCCCCGCCCCCTGAAACCTGCATTATTGTTTTTTAATATCTACTTTAGTTACATAAATATACAGTTTTGCATCTTCCCACTCAGTTTAGCTGCTATAGAAGCACCAAAAACTGCTAAGGTGGTGCTAGGCTGACAAATCTCCAACTATAAGTAAGCCATCATTCACATCTTAATTCATAATATCTATATCTAAATTCTTCCCCTTCCCACCCCCATCTCCTTTGTCAACTGAGAGATTCCATGTTTCGAAGGAACTTCTGCTTCATTTAGAGAGAAAGAATAGCAGAAACAACAGTCAAAACGATAATAATGGTACTGAAATTCTGTTTTCTCTAAGAGACTTTACAACACAAGGGAAGAATTGTTGTCACAAAATAGATTCAAAGGAAACTACCATGACTTCAAGAGTTAAAACTATAGAGATTATTATCCAATTCCAGCATGGAACAGGAAAAGAGAAGTTAGGCTATTTAAAATACGAGCCAGTATCACGCGCCCACTTTAACTGGTATTTGCATTATAGGGAAAAAAAAAATCATCTATTTACTATGTTATAATCTTTTGAACTCAAACACTGAACTTTTACTATATTCAAGTAACAAACTTCCAACATGGCCAGCCTGAACCCATTCAGTTCTAGAAACCAACTGTTAAATGCTTACAGTCTGAATTAGAACAGTTGAGCTAAAGCTAGGAACAAAGTTCTGGTTTGATTCCTTGGTTTTCCTACTTTCTCAACTTAAAGAAAGACTTGAAAGCTGTAGTCAGAAGCAACAATGAAAATTCCTGCAGGTGAATGAACTGAGACTACTGACATGGATGATATATTTCATTTTATCCAGATTAGGAATGCTTGTTTAAACCACATTTATACCAGATACTAAATTTCCCCATAAAGCAATGCAGTAATGATATTTGCATTGGAAGATAAAAAAAAAAAAGCAAGTTTTCCTCCATACCCTGACTACAAAGGATATGCACATACTTTTTAAAAACATGAAAAACTGTTTAAGAGGCTGGCTAGCTTCTAGAATGTAGCACACCTGTATTTTTTTAAAGTGTTCTCCTGCCGATGAAAACGAGTTGTGGTGACAGCAAAACAACACATTTTGCCCTGCCCCCCCCGTTTCCAAGAGGAGGATGTCTAAGAAACCACATACTCCCAAAGAAAGCAAACCAGGAGAGAATACGAGAGGAAGAGGGGAGTTTGGGCAAGGGTGAAATCAAATACAGTGTTGTAACAGCTCTATTTCCTCCCTTAAGTTGAAGGAAGAAGCTAGAAAAGATCTCAACAAGTTATCCAGCCCAACCTTCTGGGTTATAATACAGTCTTCTAGCTGACCAATATCAAGAAAAGTGGAGAAAGATTAGTTTTAATAGCTGAGAAACAAACTGCTTCCCTTGCTGCAGGGGCACCTCCTGCACCCCAACCTTCCCCCTTAGAAAGACACCACTGCCTTTCAGGAGTTACTCCGACTGGTGGCCTGCCCACCAGAAAGGAAGCCTTCTCTGCAGTAGCAAACAGGTCTAGCACGATTTCTCTATGACTTTTTTCGGGTTTTTTTTTTGAGCATCTTAACAAGTTGGACATTCACAGCAGACACCTTACGAGGGCCCATCAGAAACGTTCTTTGGAAGACTCTTTCCTGAACACATGGAAGATAATCAACACACTTTTTGTGAAAAATCCCCCGAGCCCGGCAGGCCCACGAGTACTCAGCAACTGACCATCCCCCCTCGCACAAAGAGGCCCAGCACTGTTTCACTCAGAGCCCCCCAACGCCTACCACAACCCAAAGCCGCGCTCCTCCAGCCTGACAGGAGCCGCCTCACCCCTGCCCGGTACCTAGCAGTCCGCGGCGGCCCGGCCGCCTCCCCGGCCC